AGAGCAAGCCCTAGGAATCCGGAATACATAGTAGAGCCCTCCCTGGCTGCACCGATTCTGTTTGGGCCCTGTGCTGCTGCCTCAGCGAACCTGTGCTGGTCTTGCTTGAGGCATTCCAGGAGATGCTGTTGGTTCAAGGACAGCATCACAATGAAGAGGGTGTCACATTTCTGTTTCACAGGCACCTATTATCCTCTTCTTCACCCCAGCTTTCCCCTCACCTTCTCCCCACGACGTTCCCATGTGCCTCTACCTCCTTACCCCATCCCTGGTCTACACAGGACCTCTAGATAGTGTTAGAGAACCCATTGTGGTGATCAATGCTCTGAAATGACTGGGGCCTCTTGAGGCCAGGTGGTCTTCAGGGAGACCAGCTACACTGATCCTGCCTTTGTGAGGAGACCCAGGCGTTGGGAGCTGTCCCCTCCTCTGAGACTCAGGCCTAGGGCACTCTGTAAGCTAGTTGACCTTAACCCTCCTGGTGACCCACCTTCCTCCCTCCCCTCCACAGGTTGGAGCAAATTCTCCCTTTATTCCTTGCCCTCTGGCACTAAAGGAGCCCAGGCTCTTGGGCTTCACTGAGCGCCATGTCGGTCCCTGCCCCCTGGACTGACCTGCTGTCTCAGTGCTGTCTGACCCCTTAGTGGGTCCATGTCAGTATTGGAGTGTGTTTTGAACTGTTGCTCCCTCCTGCACACTCCCGTAGCCACCCATTATAGGATTTCCCCACATCTGCTCTAACCCATGGCATTTGAGAAGGGGAGTCTTGCCTTTCCCTGTCAGAGCCCCAGGGATCGAAGCTGGGGTGCTGTCGTTCCCAGCAGAGGCTGTTCCTTCCTGCTGTTGGATGAGTGGCTTGTTCATTCACTCCGCCCTGCCCCTCCCTTAAATGGAGAAACAGGCCTAAAAATCAAACGGGTATAGCCCTAGGCCATTCCTGTCTTCCTGTCCCTGTCTGCCCAGTTGAGGCCACTGCTGGTTTCTAGGGCACTGAGGAGTAAACGCGCCTAGGGCTGGAGCATAGGTCTGAAATGGGTTTGTGACTCCCCAACCCCTGCCCTCAAAGCTTCAGACCCCTCAGGTAGCCGCAGGAAGGTGGGATCCTGGCCCCTTGGAACAGGTGGTTTTGCATCTTTCCAGCCGAGCCTCAGGTTCTTCCAGGTTTTATTGCCAGGAGTTAGCATATCCCAGGCTCGCAGACAACACTGCAGGGTGGGAGACAGCTGGGCACGGGGATTCCCTTGAGCACAGGCTCTGAGCTCACAGAACTGACAAAGCCCCTGCTTTCCCACCCCACCTCAGGCTTCTGCGAGCAGTGTTCCTGCCCCCTTTCCCTGTCTGTTCTGTACTGGGACAGCAGTTTTCTCTCCCACTTCCCCTTGTCCTCTACCCCTCCCCTGGGAAGGTCTCCCCACAATGACACTGGACAGCCCTGGGGCAGCTGAACCCCAGCCTGGCTCCTGGCTAGAAGCGTCATGAGCACTCCTGCAGTGTCCCTGTTGATGACTGTTTATTAACTGAGTTGTGGGGGTTTTGTTTGTTTTGTTTTGTTTTTTTTCATGGACCAAAATTTTTTTTGTATTGTCTCCTTATTGATGTCACCAGTTTTAATAAAAGTCTCTTCTGAAGAGGGCCTCCTTTAGTCTGTCTGGGGTTGCTGCTGTCTGGGGTTTTTGTAGAACCATCTTCCCTACCCAGTGCCCTCTTTATTTGACAAGTGTTTTTTGAGCACTTGATAGATGTCAGTTGAGCCAGGCTCTGGGGGTCTGAAGAAATGAGTCCTATCCAAACAAGCCATGCTCTTGAGACGGTTGCACCCACCTCCATCCATCAAGAATAGACAAGGCAGTGGCAATGCTGGCTTCTCCCTTGTCCTTGAAATCTCGAGGTCGCTGGCTGGAACAACCTGTCCTTAGTGTCTGTGGCCCCTTCATGTTGATGAAACCAGGCCCTACTCTCCCCAGGGCACAAGTCCATTCGGCTGTTGCCAAGGCCCTGGTGACAGCAGGCATTTGTATTTTCTGTACAAAACCACCAATTTACTGATTTGCCTTTTGAGATTCCACTTTTAAAGGCCCCAGGATTTTCTTTGTGTTGTATTTTTGTGATAGGGGTCTCTGTATGTAACCAAGGTCGACCTTAAACTCACTGTCCACCTGCCTCAGCCCCCAAGTGGAGATGACAGATGTGTATTAGGATGTCCAATGTACGAAGTCTGTTGATAGCCCAGTGTGGAATGGCTGCTTTAGCCTTGTGCTGAGTAGAGGGTTGCCTGGCTGCTGCTCAGGAATCTATAGTTCCACTTACTCTCACCTGGGGGCTCACTGCTTCCTCACTGCCCTCGTCCAGAAGGGTGGGGAACAAATTTTACCCATTGGGGCAGCACATTGGCACACTCCTCTAATCCCAGCACTATGGTGGGAGGATCTCTGTGAGTCTGAGGTCAGCCAGGACTGCATAGACCCTGTCTCACAAAAATAAATAAAACCTTAGCCATTGAGTAGGTGGATGGAAATGTGCCAGCCTTGTCTAACTCAATCTAGAACATACTGGTTTCTCAGAGTTGAGAAGGAAAGAGGTGTATCAATCTAGAACATACTGGTCTCTCACAGTTGAGAAGGGAAAGAAAGAGGTATGATAACTTGGGATAGAGAAATTGGATGGCAGGGGCACAGAAAAAGCATCTTTTCTCACTCAGGCTAATTGCATATCTAATGAGTGACTAATGAATCATGAATTTCTTACTTATTTTTATTTTATGTTCACTGGTGTTTTGCCATGGGTGTCAAGTTCCCTGGAACTGGAGTTACAGACAGTGATAACCAGCCATGTGGTTGCTGGGAATTGAACCTGGGTCCTCTGGAAGAGTAGTCAGTGCTCTTAACCACTGAACCATCTCTCCAGCTCCTGAATCATGAATTTCAAGCAGGTACTCTAGAGCTGGCTCTTGGAGAAGCTTTGGCAGCACAGATAACTTCCTGTAACGAGTATCCCCTTTATTCCTGGATGAATGGCCACGTGCTTTGTTTCTCTACACTACGTAATAGGACTGGAGGGACAAAAAGATGGGAGCATTGAGGCCAAAGCAAGGCATTCATTTCATGCATAAATGCCCAATTCTTTAGGGTTCCGATCATATGTGCCAGGGACAGGAACATCCTTTCTTCCACCACTCATAATCAGTGCTCCCAGCTGGCAGCCTGGCACTGGAGCCTTTGTTGCGGTGCCAGTGCAGTGTGATAAAGGAGTGCTCTGTGGGAGGCTGGCTCTGCATTAGAGGAGCTTGTTAGAAAAACAACCAACCGATTTCATGTTTCATAGGGACTGCCTGGCCATAATAATACGGTGGGCTTTTTCTGTGGAATCCCGAACTGAGAAAAGACATGCTTCCAGCCTTGACCTCCTACTCACTTACCCAGGCTCCACCGAGACTCCCCTCTAACCTAGTGCTGATTACTGTTACTGGCCAGTGGTAGCCTGGAGGATGGCAACACCCGCTTACTGGCTTGCCAAGCCAGGAGGTCTGCACATGAGCAGACGGTGGTGTCTGCCCTGTGGGTCAAGGTGCAGCACTGCTTTCCAGAGCGGCTTGGAAACCCAAGCTCCTCCCCTTAGTCAAACAGCCGTGGATGTCATGGAGCCTAAACTGCAAGATGTGGGTTGACATTCTCCCCTCCCCCAAAGTCATTTATGAGCATCGGAGACCACAGAGCTCCCAGAGACACAGGTACTCCTGAGCCTTAGATGGTGCTGCTCTAAGCTTGGCTTCTCTTCCCCTTTCTGGTTCTGTAAACAGCTATTTAACTTAAGGCTCCCAGTGGATTAGGCAGAAGCAGAGAAAAGAAATTGAAGGAAACATCAAGGCTCTTTGGGACAGCACACATACTGGCCACCACTTCTCTGCCCTTTCCTGAAGCCTGGAAGAACTGTGGGCCACGTGGCGGTGGAGGCCTACCTTTGACCTTTCTTGCCTTCCCTCTATAGACCTTCAAATGGGCATTATCTGAGGTGAAATGACTCATTGGAAGTCACTGGTATGAACCAAGATGACCTTGTTCTCTTTGGTTTTTTCAGGACAGGGTTTCTCTGTGTAGCCCTGGCTGTCCCGGAATTCACTCTGTAGACCAGGATGGCCACAAACTCACAGAGATCCCCTTGCCTCTGCTTCCCAAGGACTGGGATTAAAGGTGTGTGCCACCACTCCCAGCTTCTCCTGGAATAGTTTATACTTGGTCCGGGGTACCTAAGCCACAGCAGCCCCTTATCTTGTAGGTGGAATACCCCTAGAAGTGGCTTCACATTCCCTGACCCTCTCACCCAGTCACCACCAGGGGAATGAATGCTAGAGAACAAAATTGGAGCCCTGAGGATCGGGGTGGGGTGTGTTCTAGTGTGTTAGTGCCAGTGCGAGAGGTGAAGAGTCGCCTTTGAATATCCCCACATTTGTCACTAATACTAGTTCCATAGTTCCTTTTTTTTTTTTTTTTTTTTTTTTGGTTTTTCGAGACAGGGTTTCTCTGTAGCTTTGAAGCCTGTCTGGAACTACCGCTTGTGACCAACCAGGTTGGCCTCGAACTCACAAAGATCCGCCTGCCTCTGCCTCCCGAGTGCTGAGATTAAAGGCATGCGCCACCACCGCCCAGCTCCTTTTTTTCTCCCTTCTTCCTTACTTTTTCTGAGACGAGGGTCTCACTCTGTAGACCAGGTTGGACTTGAACTCACAGAGTGCATCATCATGCCCAAGTCTGCTAGTTGCGATTTATTTTAGTGCTGGGGACCAAGGAAAAAGTGGGAACTGGTTCTTGGGATTAGCCCATAGCAAGTAGGTGGGACACTAAGGCCGAGGCAAAAGGGAAGAAACTGGCCAGCACTGTCTGCTGCAGCACCGTCTGCTGCAAACCGGAGAAGAAAAGCTGGTCTGGTCTCTGCCCCACTCCTGTTCCCCACCTGTCTCTACCCTTTACTCCCCTTTTTCTGGACCAAACTCCCTATCCCTAGGCACCAGCGTCTGGGCCACCTCAGAGGCGGAGCTTGGCTGCACCCACGTGTGGTGGAGTTAAATACTCAGAGCCTACACCCATTGGGGCAGAGAAGCTAGAAGCGGCACCATGGCTGGCAAGAAAGTCTGCATTGTCGGCTCCGGGAACTGGTAAGCGATTCTCTGAAGGGCATGGGTGAAGGGCAGGCTCCTTCCAAAGGCATAGGGGCTCCCCAGAGGGAGGCTGGGTGGGCGGGAAGCAGGACGAAGGTAGGAAATGCCCTCCGGAGCCTGTTGGACTCCTGCTGCGATCTCCAGTGCTTACTGTGCACTGTGCCCAGCCCTCCCTCGCTGTGCCTGCCTGGGCGGCTGCACCTGTTCACCATAGGAAGGTGAGCAGACGGCTCTCTGCTCCTATCCCTGCCTGAAAAGCTGCTAGAGTTTGGGGTGGGGTCAGAAAGTTGTCCCACCTCCCCAACGGCAAAGACTAGAGTAGACTGGATCTCCTCTCTATTGCCAGTCGTGGGAGGCACATTTGCCACAGATGGGGGCGGGGAGGGGTGACAAGAGGCAGGTCGTAAAACATCCAACAAGCTTTTTGAGGTCCTACCTAGAAGACTCTTTCCTCCCTTCCCCCCTACTCCACTTCCCTGTGTTACCCCTCCCAACAGGGGCTCAGCCATTGCCAAGATCGTGGGCAGCAATGCAGCTCGCCTGGCACACTTTGACCCGCGGGTGACCATGTGGGTGTTTGAGGAGGACATCGGGGGCAGAAAGCTAACTGAGATCATCAACACGCAGCATGAGAATGTTAAATACCTGCCAGGGCACAAGCTGCCCCCCAACGTGGTGAGCCCCCAACTCGCTGTGAGGAAAGAGGGAGGCAAGGGAGAGTTTGAAACAGTCGACACTCAAATCTGTCTTTGAGGTGTCTCCTCCGGAGAGGAGGCCACTTTAGGTGGGCACATCAGGTGGGATGCTCTAGACCTAGAGTGCCCTCGCCTCGTGCAGCCTCCAAACTGTCCCTTTGGGCTCTTTCTGGATCTGAATGTACCTCCTCTTATAGATGCTTAGATGGAAAAGGAGGGGAGAGGGAGAAGTTGGTCTCCATGGCAACCAAAGGCTGGTTCTCAGGCTCCTAGACTTGGGTTCAGTCTCTCATGTCTGCCCTGAACCCTAATCCTGTTACTCATTCACTGGCTTTTAGATTTGAAGGCCGATCGTTGGACTTTTGGTCTCTGGTCAAATCTATATGGTTCTTTTCTTGCCTAGAAAAGGGGAGCAGAGAATAGGCACAAAGATGGGTTCTCCCTGCCAAGTTAAGGCCACTAAGAAGCAGTGGTGAAATCTTACTTGGCCTCTTCCTCCTGCCAAGCCTAGGCTGCCTTTGGCAATCTTCACTGACCCATAGCCAAGGGCTAAGAGTAGCTGTAGCCAGGAGTGCTCCCAGAGGCCTTAAGGACCCAGGAGAGCTGGAGCGAAGGAGGCATGACAGCTGGGGACAGGGAACCCAAGAAGTTCTGAGTGCCCTCCCTCCCCCAACACCACTCTTTGGCTTGAAGGCTGGCTCAGAATTGAATGGAGTCTCCCTAGGGACAAGGAGATTTCTTCTAGACTCATGAGCATCTGGTGTTCCCACAGGTGGCTATCCCAGATGTGGTCCAGGCTGCTACAGGTGCTGACATCCTGATCTTCGTGGTGCCCCATCAGTTCATTGGCAAGATCTGTGACCAGCTCAAAGGTCACTTGAAGGCCAATACAATTGGCATATCTCTTATTAAGGTACCAGGGACCCTTTACTGGGGGTGGGGGTGGAATGCAGCTAACTGTTGTGGGGTTTGGGCAGTAAGTGAAGTAAGCAGAAAAGAATAGACAGAAAGAGGCTTTGGAGAGAGTAAAGAAAGCAGTTGGGACTGGGAGTGTGGCTTAGTGGTAGAGAATTTACCTAGCATGCATGAAGTCCTGGGTTCAATCCCCAGCACAGGAAAAAGAAGGAAGGGAGGGAGGGAGGAGAAAGAGTCAGCTGCCAGGTTGCTTGAGGAAAACAACCCAGCTTTGGAGGCAGATGTGTCAGAGTTTAGCTGAGAGAGAGAAGTGAGACGGCTTGGGAGATGATGGAGCAGCTGGTTTGGAACAGTCCTTGGGCTGGAAGTGGGCTGGGGCGTCTAGAGAGTTCTTTGGGGATGTGAGAAGTACACTACTTTGGAGAGGAAGGCTGATTGAGAGTGTGGGGGGAGAGTCTGATGGGACACTGCTATCGAGTCTCCTCATAGCAAGTCTGGACTGGGTGGGGCTAGGGCAGCACCTCTGGAGAGGGACACAGATAAGCTGTGGGCTTGGGAGGGAAACCCTTAGCTGGGTATAAAAGACAGCTGGCCTGAGCCCCATCCTATGCCCAGGGGGTAGACGAGGGCCCCAAAGGGCTGAAGCTCATCTCTGAAGTGATTGGGGAACGCCTTGGCATCCCTATGAGCGTGCTGATGGGGGCCAACATTGCCAGCGAGGTGGCCGAGGAGAAGTTCTGTGAAACAACCATTGGTGAGAGCCCCTGTCCACACCTCGAAGCTCTAGCTGCTTCCCAAGCTCTTTCGCTAATCCCACTGGGCAGGGAAAGAAGAAAGCAACAGAGCTGAGGGCGGGGACGGGACATCCGGGAGGAGGGGCTGTGCCTCTTGCTTTGACTGGTGTGTGAGGGACAGTCAGGTCAGTGGTGTGCACCTATAGACCCAGCTACTCAGGAGACTGAAGCAGGAGGAGTTCTCGAGCCCAAGAGTTCCAGGCCAGCCTGGGCAACACAGCAAGAGCCCGCTTTAAAGATAAAAATAAAAAGCCTTACCCCCTCTCCATTTTAGGCTGCAAGGATGTGGCCCAGGGACAGCTCCTGAAGGAGCTGATGCAGACGCCCAACTTCCGCATCACTGTGGTACAAGAGGTAGACACAGTGGAGATTTGTGGGGCCTTAAAGGTGAGAGGGGCCGGGCGGTGGTGGCGCACGCCTTTAATCCCAGCACTCGGGAGGCAGAGGCAGGCGGATCTCTGTGAGTTCGAGACCAGCCTGGTCTACAAGAGCTAGTTCCAGGACAGGCTCCAAAAAAAACCACAGAGAAACCCTGTCTCGAAAAACCAAAAAAACAAACAAACAAACAAACAAACAAAAAACCAAAAGGAAAGAAAGGTGAGAGGGTACAGAGGCAGCTTTGGAGTGGGGAGCTGAAGGCATAATGAAGGAAGTCCATGGCAGCCTGGAATAAAGGATAACAAATATTTATTTGGTGGAAAACTCCCAATAAGGGTAGAGAGCCGCAATCTTCTCTGTGGGCGCTGGAAGCTGTGAACAAAACTCCAACCACCACCCAATAGAGTAAGCACGCCTCCATCTGTGCTTATCAGTCCACGTGTGGCACCTCATACCACGCCCTAATGGGCGGTACCCAAAAGGCTATTGGCTGAAAGCCTTCCATCTCCAGGGAGCACACGCCTTTCATCCCAGCACTTGCGAGGCTGAGACAGGCAGATCTCTGGGACTTTGAGGCCAGCCTGGTCTACATAGAGAGTTCTAGGCCAGCTCAAGTTCATGATGAGGCCTTGTCTGGCAAAATAATAATAAAGGTGAAAAGTGATTGAGGAAAACCATGTCAGTCTTTGGCTTCTACACACAGACACACAGATATATCTGCACAGACACACACACACACACACACATACAGAGAGAGAGTGAGAGGCAAAGGCATGTTTTAAACGGGGAATCAGGAGGCAGAGGACACAGTTTAAGAGGCCATGTCATACTTCACTTAGTGGTCATGTCGTGATTGATATGATAGCACCATGGAGCCTCTGGAGAGGAAACTTACTCACCCCTGCCCTTCTACTCCTCAAAGAATATAGTGGCCGTCGGGGCTGGCTTCTGTGATGGGCTCGGCTTTGGTGACAACACCAAGGCAGCAGTGATCCGGCTGGGGCTCATGGAGATGATCGCCTTTGCCAAACTCTTCTGCAGTGGCTCCGTGTCCTCGGCCACCTTCCTGGAGAGCTGTGGTGTTGCCGACCTCATCACTACCTGCTACGGAGGGCGGAACCGCAAGGTGGCAGAGGCCTTCGCTCGCACTGGAAAGGTAGGCATGCGGGTATCAAGGTATGGGTGATCAACAGGGAGGTTGAAGCAAGAGAATGATGCCCACGAGGCCAGCCTGAGCCATGTAGCCAGACCCCGACTCAAAAACAGGCAGGCAAGCAGAAATGAACATGGCCTGGAGAGCTGCCCAGCGGTAGAGGACTTGCCCACACAGCGCTGCTCGAGGCCCTGAAGGGGATCCCCGCGAGACCCCGGACCTTCCTGCTCAGACAGACCTGCTCTCACTTCCATCCACGTGTCATTTTCTTCACAGTCCATCGAGCAGCTGGAGAAAGAGATGCTGAATGGGCAGAAGCTCCAGGGGCCCCAGACAGCCCGGGAGCTACACAACATCCTTCAACACAAGGGCCTCGTGAACAAGTGAGTGTTTGCCACGGCCCCTAGGCATGGGAGCTAGAGGTTGATTGTCACTCCTCTTGGGACATCTTCTTGAACCCCACATGACCTATGTGACAGACAGAGAGGGCTTGCAGAGTCTGGGGCATCCTCGGCCAGCTCACCTTGTTGTGATCTTTACAGTAGCTGTTTGGACCCTTCTGCTCAGTCTCCACTTTCTGCGCTGTCCTCCCTGTCCCCTGCTCTAGGAGTTGGAGTTCTAGGACAGGAAAACTCACTTGACTGTCTTACCCCTTTGTCTATTCTCCGAAAGCCACCATTTCTGTCCCCCGACACCTCTCCTAGGTACTGAGGACAGGCTGTGCCTCAGAGTGCTCCTTTCCAGGGAGCACGGAGAGAATCCCAGATGAAGAGGGTATGGCGCAGGTTCAGAAGGACAGCTCGTGACTTTGAGTGTAGGAAATAGCTACCCGAGGATGACAAGAAGTAACGGGCACAGTATACTGTCATATCAAATATAAATGACTACATTGTTGCTACTTTATCATACCGGACCCATTGAACAGCCAATGGCACAGAGGTCTACAGAGTTAGACGGCTACTCAGTCTAAAACAAAAATCTCTTAAAGCCTGGAACTCAGATAAGCAAGTACAGTATGGTAAGATCAGGGCAGATAGCACCCCAAATCCTATGGTTAGGAATTCAGATTCCTGGCAGGTGGTATCTGAGAGATGGCAGCTGCCTTCTGCCTGAACTCCCAGAGGCTAGGGAAGAGGTGGCTGCGGCCTGGAGTCTGGACTGGATGGGTCTGGGTGTTTGTGGGGGACTAAGCTGAGTCTCCTTCTCACTCTAGGTTTCCCTTGTTCACGGCTGTGTACAAAGTGTGCTACGAAGGGCAGCCAGTGGGTGAATTCATTCACTGCTTGCAGAACCACCCAGAACACATGTGAGTGGAGCCAGGTCGCAGGACAGGCAGCTCCTTTGCCCCACCGGAGACAAGCTTGTGACAGCTGTCATAAGACTGAGCTCCAGCACTCTCAGCCAGCAGGGTCCTCACTGACGGACACTGAGGCTGTGGGCCTCAGCTACGCACCTGGAGATACAGGATTGCTGCAGAGCCTGCGGCCCCTTCAGGATTGGTGCTTCCTCGCTGTCTTCTGAGAAGTGTAGAATCAAGCCCCAGTGCTGCCTGCTCCGGGGGTGGGATGGGGGGAAGGGAAGGTGCAGGGCAAGGGCTGCCCTTTGCTGCCTCACACACACACACTGGGACTTTGTCCCCAGCCCATCAAGTGGCAGGAAGAAGGAGGCAAAGGCTGCCAAGGGAAGGGTCTAGACACCTGAGCTGACAGAGACCCCAGAGACCCCATGGCTGACCTCTGCTAGGCCACACGCAGCATCAATGATCTCAGTGTTTGCTAGCAAAATACAAAGATCTCCAACAACTTCCTTCTAACTTCTCCTAGCAACAATTGCATTCTCAGAAGCCTCTGCTCATTCTCCTTCCCCTCCCCAGGCTACGCTGGCACAAGAGTTGCTCCGGACTGGCATCTCTGGCCCGGGGGCTTGCCATGCTTCCCAGTGACTTCCTGGTTCCTAGAGCTTTGCCAGTGCCTCCCCACCCTGTGTGACCTTTCAAAGCTTTTCCTTGCCTGTACCAGGTCACCAGCACCCTCTTTGGGGAGCAGGAATTTAATCTGCTGACCGAGCTAGCTACACTTTTTCATAGCAGGCTCAGATCACCCAGGCTCCCCTGACCTTCTTATTTGTCCCGCCCTCTTAGTCAGTAGCTCTGGCTGGGGGAAGTGTCAGCTAGCCTTTCCTTCCCAACCCTATCTTTCTTCTCAGGGTCCTCCCCACAAGGCCACTTCACTTTGGCATCAGCACCACCTTCTTGTTTAACACAACGCAGGATCCATACTCATCTTCTTCAGCTCCTTCATCCATCCCATTTTCTTGACTCTTTGCCTTCAGCTGTCCTCAGACTACCAGGAGTGCTAGTCAGCATCTGAAGTAGCTCAAAGGTTCGGTAGGTTTCCACAGTGGCTGGTGGCTCTTGAGAGTCCAGTGCCAGCTCTTCTTGGAATGAGGTCCTCGTGAAGCCCTGACCACACACTAGGAGCTGGAAAAATCAAGGGAGGGACCACTGCAAACAACTTGCCCTGGGGTGAGGGAAAAACAGGATGGGGGATGGGAAGTGTGCTCTTCACTGGCCTTTTTCCAAGGCCCGGGCAGCCGGAGAATGTCACAGATCAGCAGCCTGGAGCCCTAGCTATAAATAGCCCCTGAGAGTCGAGAGAGGTTTCTTCCTCCAGCAGGGGTCTCTATTTCGTGTGTGGCAGCAACTGGCACACTGTGGCTCTCGCCAGCTTTATGTTAAACTAACACACTAAAGTGCCAAGCGCTTCTCTGCTCCTAGCCCTTAAGAATTCGGTCTTACCAACGAAGGTCGGGTAAGGTGAAGAGGGGGAGCCCTTTCATCCATCATGCTGGGCCGGAACCCTCCCACGCATTGACTGAATTCAGAGCTGCCTCCCAGGAGGCTGGGGTAGGATGCAGACATAGATTCCAACACCTGTGCTCTGATCAGTCAGTCAACTGTGAATCTGAGGCCTTCTGTCAGGCCACTTGTCCACCCAATAAAGTGTGGTTTTTCCAGAAACTGGAAGAGTTGGCAAGGTTTTTGCGCCCGTGCATGTGGTAGGGTGCGGGGTCATGTATCACTGCATACATGTTTTATTCAGTGTGAAAGAAAGGCCGTTCTTAGATAACAGCAGCCACTCTCGGGGGCATCAATCAGCATTAGTATCCAACTTTACCCCCTCCTTTCTCCCGTCGCCCACGCGTCCTATTCCCCTCCTCCATCCAAACTGGTACAGAGTCTTCCCCCAGCGTTTCTTAGGGGCTAGCAACGCAGCCTGCATGCGAGGAGGCTGCGCACAAGGCAGAAACACTAGCGAGTCATTCCTCGTGCTGTGGCCCCATAGTGCAGGTCCGATACGGATCACCCTGTAAAGGGCCGCTCCAAGCACTAGGGGGCGCACGGTCCGTCTCTGTAGGAGTCCGAGAGACTCTCCCTAGCTACAGTTTACGTCACAGCATCGTAAACTGAGGATTGGCTAAAAATTTTCCGGTTTTCCAAGTTTGGGGTACCAAGAAGCGATTTTGATGAAGCAGGACCACAACCCCCAGAATTCAATGAGCCTTTCGGAAAGGAAGACGAGTCTGAGCGTGCGGAGCCAGGAAGAGAGAGACGGAAACGGAAGTTTGAAGCCGGCTCCCGCCTCAGTGGGCGGGTTTTCGCAGGGTTGCGGGGGTCACGGCCAGGGCTTCGCACCAGTGACTGAGGCGCTCGGGTGGTTTCTGGCGCCCGACTCTGACTGCAAGTGGCGGACTGACGCGGCCCAGCTGCAGCATCCAGGTAGGCCGCGGACCGGGAGGCTCCGTTCGCCTGCTCTCCCCGCCTCCCTCCCAAGCTCCCTGGCTCGCGCGCTCCCCCGGTCTTCGGCCTGTGCCCTAGAGAGCGCGCGGCGCCCGCGTCCGCTGCGCTAGCCGGGTGGCCGCGACCACGACCGCAACCGCCCGGTCCCCTGACTGCCCTCCCTCTGCTAAATCTGCCCGTCTTCCTATAAATGCAGCCCAACCCAAGAGCTTCCGCTAGCTTCTCACGCAAAGCCGCGTCTCTCCGGTCTTCACCACCTGCCGATCTGACACACTATGGGGTCCCCTGCTTTCCTTTTCTGATCCGTTAGTCACAAGCCCTTTTCTGTGGACTCCAAGCGATTTTTATTTTTGTGTGTGTTTGATTCAACTGGACAGTGTTTCGGACCAAACCCAGAACTAGAGCGAAGGGGTCTATGATGAGGGGCTCTGAACTTTCCAGAAACATGAGCCGTGAGCTCTATCACGTTTGAGGGTAGAAAGTCAGAGTTTCACAACCCTTGCGATTGCACCTTTGTGGCATTTATCCTGATTATTCTTCCCGTATTTTTTTTTTCTGTAACCTGCAGTCCATTCCTACATTTCCTAACAGCTTTTGTAGGAAAAAAAAAAATGCGCATCAGATGTCCTACGAAACGTTTTACCAATCTCAAAAGTTTCTCTTATTTCCAAAGCTGACCCTTGTACCTGAGCTTCTAATTTCAGTTTTTCTGAGTTTATCCTGGATTTGCTTCTGTTTGTATCAGCCCCTCCCCCACTTTTTTGGGTAGGGTCTCATGTAGCCCATACTGGCCTGGGATTCATTAAGTAGCTAAGGCTGATCTCGAATTTAGGATCCTCCTGCCTCACATCCTGGGTGCTGGGATTTCCTCCGCTGAATTCAGTGCTGGGATTGAACCCCCGGCTTTGTGCGTGCTAGGCAAGTACTCTCCCAACTGAGCTCCATCCCATTTTATTTTTTTTTAATTTATTTTTTTATTTTTTATTTTTATTTTTATTTTTTTTTTGGTTTTTCAAGACAGGGTTTCTCTGTGGCTTTGGAGCCTGTCCTGGAACTAGCTCTGTAGACCAGGCTGGTCTCGAACTCACAGAGATCCACCTGCCTCTGCCTCCCGAGTGCTGGGATTAAAGGCGTGCGCCACCATCGCCTGGCTCCATCCCATTTTAGAACATACACAGATCCTTATCAGTGAACAAGATGGAGCCAGCATGTCAGCATGGCTAGGTGACTGGTACCCTGTGATTCCAGCACTAAGTGGGCAGAGAAAGGAGGATTGTGCGGCTAGCCAAGGCTGCAGAGCAAGACTGTCTCGAAAAAGCACAAACACCTAGAATTTTCTTGATTTCGTTACCTTCCCATTCTTGTTACCCCACCATCTAAATTCTAAGTATTTTAATTTTTATCTTTGTGGTGAGGCGGCTGTGATGCTCGTAGTAACCAGTTTTTCTCTGACCTGGAAGAATACTAGACACGTGGATCTTGCAGGATTTAAAGCCTGCTGGAGCCCAGTGTTTACCTAAGGCCTAGAGCCCCTCTCCCACTAAATTGACTTCAACCTTGGACCTAACTAGAGACAGTCTCCTGTTTATCAGGTGGTCCTAACCGACTGCCCCTGAGGGCCGGAGCCTGTGTCCTGAAAGTCCTAATAAGTCTCAGGAAACTGAAAAAGGCAGATTAATAGTGAAAAACAGAAAAAGGAGATTTATTCAGTATCACTAAACTGAGACTAGGACCCACCCTCTCCCCGCATGCTTGATTCTACCCTCGGGTCCTAACATGAGGGTAGAATCTGACTACCACAATTAAGCAGTCTGATTAAAATGTTCTAAGCTGGAGAGATGGCTCAGCAGATAAGAGCACTTGCTGCTCTTCTTGAGGACCTGGGTTTGATTCCCAGCACAGTCTGGGTGGGCTAATCGTTTTTTAAAGCACAGACAAGGAGGGCTGGGTGTTGGCTGTGATGGCATTCAGATGCACCTGCTCCCGGCCTTCTGTCTACCTCACGTGCAGCCTCTATTCACCCTCTAAGTCCAGAGCTCCACGTGGGGTCGCGGGGTCGCTGTCCCAGGCTGCATCAATGAAGTAAAGATGTAGACGATAAAGAATGGCTCTACGGAGGGAGATGAGGCCTGTCCTGGAGACCAACTCCAGTCTGTTTGTTGTAGGGGAAGACATGCCAACTGCCAAGCAGTTAGCTGACATTGGCTACAAGACCTTCTCTGCCTCCATGATGCTGCTCACTGTATACGGGGGTTACCTCTGCAGTGTCCGAGCCTACCGGTATTTCCAGCTGCGCAGTGCCCGGCGCCAGGCTGCAGAAGAACAGAAGACATCGGGAGTCCTGTAGAGTTCAGCCTTTCCTCCTGAGCAGCAGGCTTGAGGCATGCGATGGAAAGACCTCCCCTGCACACCATCCATGGCAAGAGCTAGGGCCACGATGGCTCTCAAACCTGCTGGACTAAAGTGCCGTGGTGTCTGCGGTCCTCCTGGCTTGTGCCCTTCTGACAGTTTGTGGAGGCTGTCGGATAAGTGGCAGTGTGAGGCTGAGGCTCATTACAGAGATTAAATATTTTGACATGTTTGTGTCTTAGTGTTTTTGTGTAGCCAAATAAAGTTTGGAGCTGGGTGTGATGGTGCACACCTTTAATCTTAGCATTTGGGAGGCAGAGAAAAGCGGATCTCTGTGAGTTTGAGGACAGCCGTGGCTATACAGAGAGACTCTCTCAAAAAAAAGAAAATGAAAAAAGAATGTTTGGATTGGAGGTAGAGCCTTGACTTACAGTTTTCCAACCATAGCCTGGTGGCTTAGTTGCTTCAGTTGCTTTACTGTTGTTGTTGTTTAAGAAAGGCTCTCTAGGCCGGGCGGGGGTGGCGCACGCCTTTAATCCCAGCACTCCACAAAGCCACAGAGAAACACTGTCTCGAAAAAAAAACCAAAAAAAAAAAAGAAAGAAAGAAAGGGTCTCTATGCAGCCTTGGCTGTCCTGAAACTCTATAGACCAGGCTAACTTTGAACTCACAGAGATCCTCTTGCCTCTGCCTCCCAAGTGCTGGGGTTAAAGGAGTACGCCACCAAGCCTGCCACTATCTTTTCTATTGCTGTGAAGACGGCAAGGCAACTCAGAGGAGAGTTCATTTGGGCCTTACAGTTCCAGAGGGTGAGTCCATTCGTGGTGGATCGTATGGCAGCAGGCCGACAGGCATGGCAACATGGGGTCCACAGGCACAAGGCAGAGAGCTACCCCAGTGACGCCACACCTCCTAATCCTTTCCAAATAGTTCACCAGTTGGGGGATCAAGGACTCAAATATACCTGTCTGTAAGGGCCATTCTCATTCAAATCACTACACTTGGGTTGCTGGAACTCAATTGTCATCATCCATGGATTGAGAGACTCAGTTTTATCAGCATTATAGGGCTGTAGCATCTCAGAAAAAAGCTGTTCCAGAATTTGTTGATTTGCTTAACTCTGGTTTTTTGAGACAGGGTTTCTCTGTGCAACAGTCCTAGCTGTCCTGAAACTAGCTCTGTAGACCAGGGTGGCCTAGAACTCAGAGAGATCTGCCTGCCTTTGCCTCCCAAGTGCTGTGATTAAAGGTGTGCGCCACCACTGCGTGGCTTATTTGCTTACCTTTGGTGAAGGGCCTTGTGCATACTGTAAGTAAACATGCATGCTACCTCTGAGACATAACTCCAGTCTCTACTAGCATTATGCAGACCCCTTGAAAAAAAGCATTCTCGGCAAGTGAGCAATTACTACGTCTAAGGAATGGGGCCATTTGTCTGGACCAGGGAAGGCAGGCCCTTATCGCGTAGGACTAATGCAGCAATATGGAAGAGTGCTAGATTATAAAGGAAGGGTTGTTGACTAGCATATGGTAAAGCAGATCACATGATAAAGCCAACATGGAAGAGTAGATCTTGAACCCTGCTACATAGTGCCTCCTCAGTCTGTGTATAGCTCTTGCAGAGATGGAAAGAGGATTTGAAAGAAGAGTGTACTCAAGGGAGGTGAGATAGCTTAATGGGAGCCTTCAGCCAAGCCTGATGACCTGAATTTGATCCTGGAGACCCGCATGGTGGGTGTGAGAACTGACCTCACAAGTCTTCTGGTCACATATGCACCATGGCATGTGTGCCCACCCCTCACCACACGTGCACCATGGCATGTGTGCCCACCCCTCACCACACGTGCACCATGGCATGTGTGCCCACCCCTCACCACACGTGCACCATGGCATGTGTGCCCACCCACCACACGTGCACCATGGCATGTGCGCCCACCTCTACCACACGTGCACCATGGCATGTGTGCCCCCCTCACAACATGTACACCATAGCATGTGCGCCCATCTCCACCACACGTGCACCATGGCATGTGTGCCCCCCTCACCACATGTACACCATGGCATGTGTGCCCACCTCCTCACCACACGTGCACCATGGCATGTGTGCCCACCTCCACCACACGTGCACCACGGCATGTGTGCCCACCTCCACCACACGTGCACCATGGCATGTGTGCCCACCCACCACACGTGCACCATGGCATGTGTGCCCACCTCCACCACACGTGCACCATGGCATGTGTGCCCACCCACCACATGTGCACCATGGCATGTGTGCCCACCTCCACCACACGTGCACCATGGCATGTGTGCCCACCTCCACCACACGTGCACCATGGCATGTGTGCCCACCTCCACCACACGTGCACCATGGCATGTGTGCCCACCTCCACCACGTGTGCACCATGGCATGTGTGCCCACCTCCACCACACGTGCACCATGGCATGTGTGCCCCCCTCACCACACGTGCACCATGGCATGTGTGACCACGCCCACCACACATGCACCATGGCATGTGTGCCCACGCCCACCACACGTGCACCATGGCATCTGTGCCCACCTCCACCACATGTGCACCATGGCATGTGTGCCCATCCACCACACGTGCACCATGGCATGTGTGCCCACGCCCACCACACGTGCACCATGGCATCTGTGCCCACCTCCACCACATGTGCACCATGGCATGTGCGCCCACCCACCACATGTGCACCATGGCATGTGTGCCCACCTTCACCACGTGTGCACCATGGCATGTGTGCCCACGCCCACCACGTGTGCACCATGGCATGTGTGCCCACCCACCACATGTGCACCATGGCATGTGTGCCCACCTCCACCACGTGTGCACCATGGCATGTGTGCCCACCTCCACCACGTGTGCACCATGGCATGTGTGCCCACCTCCACCACACGTGCACCATGGCATGTGTGCCCTCATCCCCCACCAAATAAAATATCAAAAGGTGCATTCAAGAAAAGCCTCACCAAAAGGAGAGATTCCTGCCCCCATTCCTTTTAGAACTTGCTTGCCATGAACCATATGTTTACTTTTTGTTACTTAGTTTTTGAAGCAGGGTCTCACTTAGCTGTGTGGGCCCAGCTGACCTTTCTGCCTCTGCTCCTCAGGTGTGAGATTACACCCTGCATCTCCGTACCTGCCATATATTTTATAAGCTTCTACATTACAAAAACATACTATATGATATTTATGTCTTTTTTTTCTTTTTTTAGTTATAAACTGATGGGCCATTAGCTCAGGCTTCTTTTTTTTTTTTTTAAATAAGGCCTTGCTTTGTATTTAAACACTGAATAGCAGTACTGGTACAGAATATGCTCACAACTGGGGGGCGAACACTATGGGCCTCCCCGACAGATGTCATTACTGTAAACACCAGAAGGACCTCCATCTCCGACATAATCAGAACTGGATAAAGAACAATGGGCGTGTTTCAGTGACGAGCTTGCCAAGTACTTGCCAGCTACTGAGCAAATGGTTGGCATGAATAGTCATGCCCTTGATGTGCACATAATTACGAGGTCTGTATGTCTTCTCATTCACTGGTAACTTCTCCAGTTCATCCAGAGTCTCCCGACCATCTATGACCTTTCCAAACACTGTGTGCCTCATGTCTAGATGCAGCTGCTTGCCGTAGGTGATGAAGAACTGAGATCCGTTGGTATTTGGGCCATTATTAGCCATAGATACAACACCTCTAACATTGTGCTTCAGATACTCACTGTACTCGTCCTCAAACTTCCTGCCCCAGATACTGCTGCCTCCCCATCCAGTGCCTGTTGGGTCTCCTGTCTGAACCATGAAACCCTTGATGTTCCTATGAAATACACAGCCGTTGTAGTAATTATTGGCACAAAGAGCCAAGAAATTCTCACACATCTTAGGTGTCCTCTCACAGAAGACTTCTATTTTGATATCTCCCACATCTGTATGCAACGTCACAGACATCCTCTTGATGGCTCCAGGAAGACTTGCACAGAAAACCTGAAGATGAGTTCCCAGTCCTGACAATGTATTTAAAAGCGCTTTTCCCATAGTAGCAGACACTAGTACTAGTATGCATTCTCCAATTAAGTCCCTCTCCAGCCCAAGAGTTCACCACGACCATTTATGGAAGAAAGTCATTGGTTAAGTAATAAAGAAACTGCTTGGCCCCATAGGTTAAAACATAGGTGGGAGGAGTAAACAGAACAGAATGCTGGGAGGAAGAGGAAGTGAGCTCAGAGACGCCATCCTCCCCTCTCCTGGGCAGACACAGACGCAATGAACTCCAACCCAGGATGGTCGTAGGCTAGAATCTTCCCGGTAAGCGCACCTTGGGGTGCTACACACAGATGATTAGAAATGGGCTAAATTAATATGTGAGAATTAGCCTAGAAGAGGCTAGATAGAAATGGGCCAAGCAGTGTTTAAATGAATACAGTTTGTGTGTTGTTATTTCGGGCATAAGCTAGCAGGAGGCCGGGGTGCTGGGGACGCAGCCCCGCTGCTCTTATTACTACAGACCATCCTAGGAAATAAAACATGGGTGCAACAGGCAGCGAGTGCACAAATCAAAGGAGAAACGCTGTTACCTCACACTCGCCCACTTCGCTCAGAGCTGCCTCTGCAGAAACAGAAAAGCCTGGGATTAAAGGTGTGTGCCACCACGCCTTGAATCCAGAGGTCTGCTTGCCTCTGCCTCCTAAGTGCTAGGATTAAAGGTGTGTGCCACCACACCCAACTACTCTCTTTTTTATTTTTAAGGACTTTAACCTTTAGCTTGCATATATTTTTAACACACTGAAAACCATTTAGAAGTTTTCTTCGTCTTTGAATCTCTCTTTATTGTATACTCTTTTTTTAAAAAAAAATTATTATGTATACAATGTTCTGTCTGTGTGTGTATGCCTGCAGGCCAGAAAAGGGCACCAGACCTCATTACAGATGGTTGTGAGCCACCACGTCGTTGCTGGGAATTGAACTCAGGACCTTTGGAAGAGCAGGCAATGCTCTTAACCACTGAGCCATCTCTCCAGCCCCTATTGTATACTCTTTTTCTGACCACATGAGTCTTTAATTTGCTAGGCAATATGACTAGGATTAAAGCTGTGGCTTTGATGGCTGGATCCAGCCCATTCTTTAGCTTTCTGAGATTCCAGCCTTATGGCAGAGGTATTGGCTGTAGCTGTATAAATTGCCACAGCTTTATGGTATTTCAAGGTCCCTGCCAA